ATAAGTATTTTTGATATAAGCATAAAACTTGGGCACTGTGGTAGAGTATAACTCCATTATGGATACGATTTTATTTTGGTAAATCACACAGTGTTGGAGAGCAATATTACTTGGTGGCGTTTTGAGCACAAACTATTGCTCATCATCATATCAAGTCAGTCACACAACTTTTTGCCTCATTCATATACATGAGTATTTTACTTAAGCGTACTACAGGGATAAAAGGTCACTCGTCTCATTCACTTCTATTCACACCATTTCTTACGTCCATGTTACTGACTTTTGGTTTATGTTTTCCTCTTCGGTGCACTTTATCTGGACAGTTTAAGGAATCGGGAAATGCATAGAGTACTTAGGAAACGGCATGAATAATTGTTTAAGCTAATTAACACTAGGTAGTTGTGACACTACGCATTTGTAGTGACAAAGCTGACTGAGTTTTATTTAACATGGAACTCAGCACAGAAGTGTAGCAGTTCGATTTGTGACGTTCCACACTTGAAAAATATTATATTTGGTTGGTAATAAGCATAACATATTTCATCAGATGTGTTTCAACTTCGCAGTTGGGCTACGTGATAAAATTAACTAACTAATGAGATATAACGAGACAGAGTGTGAGAGTTATCTCGGGTAAGAGGAGAAATTATTGTAAGATCACTTTTTCAGTTAGACAAGAACTAAATGAAAAATACGATTACCATTTGTTGACATTTTGCCTATTTTTATCCCCGTTTTAACATTTCACTATACCTGGACTATAGATCATTCTGACAGACTGATTTTCAACATAGAAGCGTGCACACAAGTGCACCCGCTTAAGTTACCACGTTCCATGTAGCACACAAAGGTAGAGGAAAAAATAAATTAAATGGAACTCTAATGAACATAAATGTGATGAAAACCGAACAGTCATATGGAAAAAATATAAGGGTTGCTCAGATATGTGCGATTACACAGAGTGAATGCATCTGTGTCATTAACAACGTTTGAAATCACATTTCTACTTAACACTAAGCTTAACCCCAATATTACTCACCATATTAGACTACTTAACACAGAAGAAAGGGTACAGACACTACGATCAAAAACCAGTAGTCTTTTCATATCTTCCAGTTTCAATGGTCACTTCTCGCAGCCTAAGTGGACAATACCATCAGCATACAAAAAGTTGACAAGACTGTTCCCTGGTAAGGGCCTAAAGTGAGTAACAGACAATTCGGTTAATACATTTATGATGAAAGTGAACTAAAATAAGGACGACAGTTGTAGAAATGAGCCTTGTACTACATCCTTCTTTGAAATATCAGTTCCTTCATAGTTTAGTTTCAGTAATAAGTGAATGGAATGTAGTCTACAGATTCATGAAATTCGCATACTGACGTACTACTTTCCTAGAATCCTAGTTGATGTCTCCTCAGGAAAGTGGGAAATGAGCATTGCACTTGCGTAAACTCAATAGGCTGTGAACTGCTGGCAATGAAAACGACAACAATTTTTGGTATTACTTAATTCCAAAAACGATCACATAATCTTTTATTCCGACTTCTGGTTCCATCAGATGAAATTAAAGGGAAGAGCTGAGAATAGAAGGGGTGTTGAGGGTTAGACAGTATAGATTTAGACCATTTCTCGCATGAGTTTAGATGTCTTTTAACTAATGCATTAACGAGTTGACGAAATGGTACACCACTTGCCCTAATGACAACCTTAATACCCTACACAATACGACATAGTCGTTTTTGAGTAATTCAGGAAAGAATAAGGGGGAGCAGTAAAGACCAATGCAAGAGTTAACAAGTTGTAAAAAGAGAGGTTGAATGATTCTTGACTGTCTTGACTACATAACATGGTAACCTAGACTGAAGGTTTTCTTAGAAATCGACAAGATATAGAATGACCAAGAAAGACCAGAGGATAGATTTACTCCAAGGTATTTTATGTTAGACTTAGTTTCTGTTTCAGTGTCCTCTTTGATACAAGCATCTTGTGAACGACACAGTTTTCGCAGTTCACGCTTATGAGTGAGGGGAAAGTTAGCTGCCTGACATTTAGAGGGATTTAACGTAAGACCACGTACCTTAGACTACAGACAGGAAGCAGTTAAGTTTGCTGCAGTCACATTGTAACATGACAGGAAGTGAGACGGTCAGATCACCAGCATATTTGACGAAGTTGCTCTCATTAGAAAGAGAAAGGTCATGTAAGACGAGAGAGAAAAAAGAAAAAGAGAGATAACAATACCCTGAGGAACACCAGCTCCAGCAGGCGAGGCGGAAGATTTACCCTAATATACAGTATGCTGCATTCCATTTGAGAAATGATAATGCAACCAATCAACTGCCCAGGACCCGTGTTTGCACGATCGAAACCTTATTCAACTAAAGTCATCTAGGCGCTGAGTCAACAGCAACGGCGAATGCTGAATGACCGAAAACTAAGTACAAATGTGACAAAGCACAAATCCAGTTGCAAAGTAGGAGACGAGTCCCGGGTGGAAGAAGAGATTACCGAAAGGTATCAATTTTTCATTTGACAAAGAGCAAGATTATGAACTACACTTATCATTTGTTGAAATTTTGGAGATCATTTATCAATGTTTCGCATTTAGTTACGCACAGACTGTCATTCTGAGTAGCTTTCAGTATGAGTTTGCAGAGAAGTCCACCTGTTTAATTTACCACATTCCATGTAGCACACGAAGGTAGAGACATAAAACTAAATGGAAGTTTAACGAGAGAAAATGTGAGGGAGAATAAATAATGACAAGGAAAAACATGAGTTGAATAGATATGTGAGATTACACAGAGTGAATGCACCAGTACCAGTACCAAAGATTTGCAGTCACATCTCCGGTATTTCTTCCAGCCGACTGTCAACAATTTTATGAACCAATATCACTTTTTCATTTGACCGACCCAAACGCATTTTAAACCTTAACATGTGCTGGTCAGCATTGTCCCTGGAGGAAGGCGATGGCTTAGTATGCCAGCACGTGTTCTAGCCATCTCAACCTATTCAGCTTCCCTACCTTGAAGGCTAACTAACCCTCCCCACCTAAACATTTATGCGTAACCTCAACAGCACTCGCCATATTATACTGCTTTACTGATGAGATAGAACGCGGACACCTATAATCAAACACCGGTATTATTTTCATATTTTACAGCATCAGGGGTTACTTCTCATAGTCTAGGTGGACAATATCATCAGCAAACCGTAAGGTGATGAGAATATTCCCTGATAAGTCTTTGAAGTCAATTACAGACTATCATATTATTATATGTGTGATTGAATTGAACTGTTATAAGGATGACAGTTTAAGAATTCAGCTTTGTATTACATCCCACTCGGAAATGTGTTTTCTCGGATAATTCGCAAACAGTATTCAGTGAACAGAAAACATTCTGTAGGCTTGATGAAACTCGTAAACTGACGCACTACTTTTGCAGGCAATATACTATTTCCTCAATAAAGTGAGAATTGAATACTTCGGCTGCATAAAACGAGTAAGTAGTATTCTGGCAATACCAATGACTACAACAAGTCTAGGAGTTAAGCACTACAACTTTTACTTTACTGAATACACCAGCAGACTTTACATAAACACTTGACAGATCAAATTTATACAGGGAGTCAGTAAGATTTAGTAAACTAAAAGTGCTTTCGGTTTCCACAGGAGTTCTCCGTGCCGAATTTATTCCTTCAAGGGCCTACAAAGATTAAAACTTCAATTAAATAACACTGATGTGGAAGAAATTCCATTCTTCATTACTACACTTAATGAAAATGAACTTAATGAAAATGAATGCACTAAGAACTCAGTGCAACTCGATACACAATAGTATATATACAAATAAACTGAAAAATAATGCCCTCCTTACCTTCTAAACAACTTGTCTTTATTCCAGGATTATAGTTTTTCACGTATGAGCCTGAGTTATGTCTACGAAATCGCAATATTACATCAGTTAAATCTTCCCCGAAAACCAAGGCCACTTGAAACCAATAGCAACATAGCAACAAGCGTCATTGAGGGGATATGCAATAAAGTCGCTCCTTTTTTAGCTCACACGACCCACGCTAATAACACATGCTATCCTTATCTGTTTTTTCGACGACGCTGGACAGATGACGAGTGAAAGAATCAACCCCATTCACAGTAGCAACATGGTCTTAATACACCGCATACTACAAACTACATACAATCAATCCCATCACCACTCCTTTTGTTGTCAACCAAAGCTACGACAGTTGAGTGGCAGGAAGAACTACGTAGAAGTTTACTGTAGACCAGGAACCATTACCTCACAATTTAAGAGGTAATCATGAAGAGATTAAATTGGTTAATACTAGCTCGTAAAAATTACAGTGTATATTAGAATCGGCTTATTTGGATGAAGGAATTCCTCAGCTACAGCAGTTGGGTAAATTATTAACCCTAAACTGTATTTGTAGAAGGGCAGAAGAGGAAATACACTGGGAGATAGTGTGCTCATACACCTATTATTTATTCCGAGTATAATGAGACCACCTAAACCAAACAAATCTTCTTTGGTTCTCCACGCATATGACCCAAGTTTGCTGACAGCTAGACGAGACTACCGGCATATGCACACTAAAAACTAACCTCACTAATCTACTGAGTTAGTTTGAGCAATATATCTTACATCACCGCAGAGTGCTGGTTCTCCAAATAGGATGTTCAATATAGAGACTGAGTCCCATAAGTAAAGAAGTTGTAATTAACCAATGACCACATGAAGCGAATGTACATACATACAACTAGTAAAATCCACTGTTACACAACATATCTACGAAATTTCATGATATGGTTGCAAATCAGATAAAAGAGGGCTTGCAAACGCCCTTGAAATGCTGAGTTGCATTTGACAGTTTTCGTGGTTGTTTGTGTATTCATGATACAATATATATTCCGTGGACTTCTCAGCGGCACAAATGATCTTGCCATCTCTGAAGCACTTTAAGCCCAGGTATTTATGATCATAGAAAGAGTAAATTCAGAGTCGAAGAAGTTGGTGTGTTCGTGCAATGACAATTCTCAATGCACAAAAAAGTCAGGTAACCACAATGATGTGAAACGAAACAAAATGGGTCGATGTTCTGTGGAATCAGGTGGTAAATGCTATGCCGCCAGAGTGATAGATAGAGGATTACTCGGAAATTTTATTCGCTTGAAAATGTTGGATGGTACAAACAGTTTTAAAGATTCATCGCTATCGGTGGAAACAAAACCTGATATTTCGAAAAATTTTATCAGAATTATATACGGATGCATCGATTCGTATGAAAAAGTGGTACTTGCCTGCAGTAGCTATCTCACAAAACATGCCATTCCACAATCAATTGAGTGCTGTGATTCTGGTAATATGTGTAACGCTGCTCTGTTTCCGAAGTTTCACCATTATAGCGAGGACATAGAAGCGGTGGAAAGTGCACTGAAACATATAAAGAAAAGCGGCTTTTGGAGAGAGGGTAGCTTTGTAAGGGAGAATACAGGTTTCAAGCCAAATCTCAATTTGGGTCCAGATATGTTGATTGCTCGCACATCTATCAGAAGTATGCACAATAGAAACCTGATTAAAAGTGAAATGTCGAAAGAACACTTAACTTTTGACTCTGAGACTGCATATATCTTTAATACTGTACCAGTGGTGACATACAGTTTAGTATTCTTCATACTGTCAATTATTCTCGCACTTGTTGGCTATATTTATAAGCGTCGTATGCAGAAGGATGGATGTTGCCTTTATGAGTTTAGTAAATGCAGTTATGTGACAAAGCGACCAGCTGTGGAAACGATCTGCACTGCTAACATTAAGGAAAAACAGCCATGCAGCGAGAATTTACATTTGATAAATGCTACTGTAAATAAACATAAGCTAAATGTATGTCATTATGGTCCCAGTTTATATGCTAAATCATCTAACCAGACTCATGATGCTGACTGTAGCGCAACAAATAAAACATATTCCTGTCCATATTTATTTACTCAAAGTGGCTTAAATACCATAGCTTCTCAGACAATCAATCGACAAATCACTCTAACCAAGTTTCTTGGTGATGGGCGGATTTCAGATGTTTGGGACGGTGAGTCGTTATGGTTGTCTTGATCTTATTTTGAATCAGTATTGGTCTTTTTTAAAATGACACCATAAAATCACCATAAGACTAACTGACTGACTGACTGGTTGCAACATGGGACTTTGCACCGATGTGTAGCAGTTCAAGTCGCCACGCTTCACTTAGCACACAAAGCCATAGAAGAAGAAGGAAGTAAAAAGAAATGAAAAATAGAGACAATAAGGAGAGATATGAGGCAAAAATAATAGTAATGTCAAAGAAAAGTATAGTTTTATTGAGTATTATAAGTCACAAGGAGTGGATGCATCTTCAACAGGCATTGAAAACGATTTTGAGCCATTTCACCAAATGTCTCCAGCTTTCATTGGTTTTTACCATCCCGAAGGCCCCAACCAGGAAGTCTAAATCTTCCTACGTGGCTAGCTTAAACTAACTGTTGTGGATTTTATTGACTGGTGAGGCTATGTTTTTGTTTGACCTCCGCTAGCTTTTTTCCAGCCTGACCTTATGTCAGTTAACATTGCCCGTCGACGAAGGCGATGACTAGGCAAACGTAACACATGCCCTAACCATCTCAGTCGATGTAGCTTCACAGCCTGCTCGATTGATTTCCCCTCCTTACCTAGCACTTGACACCTAACCTCAATACTGCTCACCCTATTATACCATTTCACACGGAAGATAGAACGCAGGCACCTGTGATCAAAGACAGCTAGCCTACCTTTTCATGTCTTCCACTCTCAATGGACAGGTCTCACTCACAGCCATAAAGGAGGACGAGCGGACACCTGAGCAGTACACACGCCCTTTGGTCGATAGCCAGCAGGATATCACGTCTACTCCAGAGATGGCGTAAACTAGCATATGCGAAAAGAGCCCTCTGTATCCTTGCTGGGATTTCACCATCGATCACCATAAGCGAAACAGTTCTGGTGTACGGAGTAATTGCTTGTGTCATTTCCATAGTTTTTGCCGAATTATTTTGTGATGACGTTGGTATTGATGTTATTTTTGGAAATAATCGTCGCTAGAATACACGGTGAAAAGTGTTATTTTTGGTAATTAATTGAAACAACCATGAGGAAAACTGTGAATACCCCTGTTTCGTTTTTCCTTTATTTTGTATATTGCACTACATCACCTCAGTACATTTCTAGTTTAGTTTACTTCATTGCTTTGCACTTAGTGGGGGGAGTGGTTAAAACTGAAGCCAGTTCACTTAAAGTTTTGTGTGATGCCCATTAGCGTAGATTCATTTTAGTTATTCACCCTCTCAGCAACAAAATAACAAAGAATTCATCTTCTCATATCCTTAGGGGCTCTTTGTGGCTAAAGACTCTAGTTTGAATTCCACGGTGTAGGCTCAGGGTTTCTAGCCATTTTATTTCCTTAAATAACTTCACATCTCCAAGAAAAAACTTTCGTTTAGTAGTATAAAACCAAGAGATATGTGGGAGTTAAGATTGGGAACTTGTGTTGGTCCGAAATTGAAAGAAGCAGAGAATATTCCAAATGTTCAGCAATAAGACAAGTAAAAAATATCCGCTCTGTAGGTTCATAATCGGATAATTCAGCACAAACAAAGTCTGATTGCTGCTGGAGGTTCAAACCTTGTATTTCGATAGATAGTCCATATTCGGTCTGGCCACGTATATGTTTATGGAGTCATTGTGTAGCATATAATTAGTGTTTTATCTTGAAGTTATCAGAAAGCCCACGAAGATTAACAACAAAGAAGGTGGCAATAGAAGCTGGGGATGTCTTACAATTAAAGTAGAACTTGAAGTATGTTTTGTGAAGCAGGTATGGTGACAAATGAACTTATTCAGTTTACCAGGGCTTAAACTCTGTTTAATATTTCGTCTCATTCAGCTAAGCATTGTCTAAAGCTTTCACGCACGACGTGTAAGCCATGCTTTAAAAGCTCACAGGCAGGAAGAAATAATAGTGAAAGCTACGATGTCGAAATTTATCGTAGTGTTGCCATTCTAAAAAAGGTCATCTGGAATCGTCTACGGTATGTGCAAAAGAAATGTTATCATGATGAAATCCTCTCGCTCATCCCCACTAGGATACAACCTTTGACATCTTCAGGATACTGTTGTTTAAATTATACAAAATACTTTATTCCGTCGGATAAGCAATCTTTTAGGCTGAATTAGCTAATAAGTACTACTTAAGTTGATAGATGATGGAATTGAGACTTCGTTTTGAAGTTATTATTCGTGTGTTTGAGATTTTACATAATAAGGTAAGAAGACTAATCTCTTAAAAACCAATACATTAGGCTAGAGAGGGGAATCTCATCACTGAAACGTTCTCCACTAAATTCACTTTTGCAACAGGACAAAATAGTCCATTCTGATTCTAAATACATTGAAAGCACTTCAGATATCCTCCAACTTCTAGTAATCCTATCCAAAACTATTTAAAAACACTGTTTGAATTAAGTAGGAGGTTTGCTGAAATACTTTTGCCTTTCAGTTTCACAAAAACATACTAAAAATATTGACTTACTTGAAACTACCGGGTCTAACTGAAATAAAATATATTTCCCTTGTTTTGATCGGTACACATATGCCATCTGAATACTGATTTTTATGGTTATGCACTAGTTGATTTGACTGAAATGTTTGTCGGTATGATAATTATTATATAAATGCTCAAGAATGATGGACACATAATGGGCAGTTGGACAGCATCTCAGTGCCTGAATAGTCTATTATTTAGCCTTATAACCGGAAGGTCCTTGGTCAGGACCCCCGTGGGTGTGTGCTGAAAATGGGTCCCGAACAAGAACAAAACAGCCGTGCAGTGCTGCCTGGTCTTCTGATGGTTCTCTAAGAATTAGCATCTAGTGGTCAGACCTGTAGATAAATCTGACTTTATATAGGTGTAGTGTCCTGGTTTCCCATCAGTACCTAAATCTTGATGACCTTCTAAAGCCTAGTTTTAAACTCTGTTTGAATGTTTTTGTTGAAAGGTATATTCAAAGGTGAAGAAGTTATTGCTAAAGTGTTTCACTCTGGTGCTCGTTTGGCGAATAACGTCTGGCGCCGGACAATTTCATTACATCGTTCAATTCTGCTTCGACATAAATCAATTCATGGGTTAATGTTTGCTGATTGGCTTAATTATCCCACAGAAAAATATCTTTCTACTCTTAAAAATAACTGTTCATATACAACGTCAATTGTTCCTTCACCATGTGCTTTGCTTATCGGTGAAAAATGCAGTTATGGTACTTTAAAAGATCTCTTATCAAACAATATTCCCGATGTAGTTTCTTGTAAACATCCAACTGCTTTCGAGAACTGTGATATGATTGGGTATATAAATGATCACTTTAATACTGCATGTAATTCCGAAGTTACCCGACTACGTATGCTTATGGAGATTGCAAATAGTCTAGCCCGAGGACTTTGGTTTTTGCACTCAGGTAAGTCTCAGTGTTTATATATGTTTTGTTGTCGTTGCATAATGGCTTCCTGTATAAAATAACCTTTAATTTGTGGAACTGAGCAGAGTCTTGCATTGATTTTTCTGTGGTGGATTACTTCCTTACTAAATACGTGGTTTGTGGTTCAATCGCCGGCTGACTAACTCCTAAACCTTGCTCAGCCGACGGTAGACGCAGTAAGGACGAAAGGTTTGGCATAAAACATCAACGCCACTGCTTCTAAAACCTCAAAGCTGAGGTTTGAAGTCCTGTGATGTACTCGAAACGCGAAGGGATGAATTTGAAGTTTCTGGCAGAGTACATTGATGATAATCAGGATAATGCTAACCATCGCCCAAAGTCACCTTGAAAGGAGACTATAGTGGATGTATCTAGGCTGCAGAAGAAGGACACATGGAGGAAAGCAATTGGACTAATTTTTTCAAAATGTGTAAACAGTTAAAGAAATTTTGATAACAACTTTTTCAAATTTACTCGGCAATCGAAAAGAATTGGTAAGGCGTCTGATGTAGAGTGGGTAAACGTTTTACTCCATATCTCAACCATATTGAACAGTGCTGTCAAAAACAGTGTTTGACTTGTCGAGTCTTTCTATCTGCTTATCTATCTCTATCAGAGCATGGGTTAAATTGATTAAATGAAGTGGATTTATAAAAAAACGTTGAATTTTACACATAGAGTTGCGACAGAGGATACTGTCGCTACTGTTTTTCTAAATTTCACTGCCGGTGATTCGGGAGCTGCATCTCTCTTGAAGGCTGAAGCCAATTACCAACGTTTACTCCTCACAGTCCATCATCACATATACTCACAAACTTAACCCACTTATACACCGATAATCACTGATTATCTAGCTGTTTGCATAAAACTATATGCTGCACATTAACTGAGATGAGTGAGTGTACAGCGCTCATATCAACAAGTAGTGCTTTCTATCCAGATTAAAGAAACCTATACACCAGATGGATGTTTTGCTCTTGCGGCCGAGCTCATAAGCGGCGTAGCCGGTCCATCCCAGCTCAGAGAACCGAATCAGTTCAAACCACTACCTAGCAAGCACTATTGGTAGATATGAGTGTTATACAACTACTCATCTCAATTAATCAGTAGTATGCAAAAATGTTAAGCAAACATGGTTGCTTTCTTGATTACGCTTTTATAGTATCAAGCACATCATATGCTGTAATCTGAATAATTTCGGTTTCCGAAGGAAACTGTGGTGTACGTTCCACTACCAGGACGATGAATTGAATTCGCCTGACAGCTGTTATATAAGCACTTGGACGACTTCTACCATTATTCTTATCACTTTGTTTATCACACATCAATTTGCCCACTGGAACTTTTATTCTGTTAACCACAATGGCATCAAAACCTATGCTGTATAATTTAATTACATAGTGTTAATCCTTTATGTGGAATTACTGGAAATATGTGTCTGCTTAAAGAGTATTCTTATTATTGTTTCTTATTTTGCTCCTTTACGTTCCCAGTGGAACATATGGCTTCAAGCTAGAGCTTTCAAGTTTCGGTAGCAGTGTTATTTAATTTTACGGGATGGATTTGCTAGACTCATGCTCAACCTTCCGTCTTTATTAGTCTTGTTACCGGCTTAGTGAGGTAGAGGAGTGCGTCAACCGGATATCGGACCCCGGACCACATGTGTGGTTGGCGAGCATTCTACTGCTGGAGAGTACTATTAGATTATCACAATGAGAAATAGATTGCATATTTGTAAATGACTGCTTTAATGCAGCGTCATCTAAACTGAAAATATATGTAATCTTTAAAAACAGTGACCTGATGATTGCTGTTTTGCAGGGAAGTAACTTCACAGCAGTTGGTGCGCATACCATTTAATAACATATAGAAAACATCACTAAATATTATGAATTATCTACAAGTACAGCTCCCTGCTTGCTACATAAGTTCTAACCTTTTAGAAAGTTTCAAGGAAATACCTTCTTTTATCCTGATTTTGTTGAGCATATGAAATATATTCCATAGCGTCATGTTATTAGCCTAGCAACTACACTAAGAGCTTCCTCGGCAGATTTAGAAGCGACCTCTTTTTCTACTTTAAGCGAATTTGTTGATGTTGTCTGGTTTTAATCCAAAGTGTTAGTGAATCATTTTGGAGCATCAGTGGCATTCTCAAATTGGCTTTCCTTAGGAAACATTGCTTAATAAAACTTTAGGATCAAGTTGAACTACGATAACCGAAATGTCATTGAACGACTTCTAATATTATTCGTTTGAGATTCACAGTATTTAATGCGTTATAGACCTCATCTTAATTATACTGAGTAGAACGATAACACTAATGAATCTACTGATATTTTATTAAAGTTTGAAATCAAACTCATGAGAAATATTGTCTGTAGGAAACACAAAAGCCCTATATGGTACTTAAAACACACACTTTAAGCATCACATGTATCGCTTCATTACATATTTGATATTGTTTTTCTCATAATTGTATAGTTTTCACATATGTACACTTTGAGTAAAAAAGAAGACAGTGTGTGTTCAGATGAAATAGTTATCAGTGTTTTCTTGCTCTGGTAAGTGGATGTCCTTACTCTCTCTCTCTTATTTGATTACGCGATCTTTGGCTGTAACCTCTTCTCCTTAGCTATAATGTAATTTTGCTTGCCATCCGTTTCTATGGTTTGAGCTAACCTTGTCGCGTTGTTATTCAACTTTTTAGTTACTCATCATTTTACCTATCCACCTTTTATCCTTATTACATAACTCCTTCGTCACTGTGCCAATAATTTTATTTTCTGTGTAAATTTGAGCCTTCTGTGTATAAGAGTATAGTTTCTTAAGCACTGTCTTTTAAGTGTGGAGTTTCCAGATAACTCACATTTGTAAGCACGTTATGATTGTTCTGTACAATTCCTTTATTCTGTATGCAGCTGATGAAAAGCCGAACGGATTGATGGAAAGCATTTACCGCCGAATCAGCCTCACCGTAGGTTCTCAATCAAACCACCGCTCACTTAAAAAATTAAGGATAAATCACCAGTGATAATGTGATATTTACTGATCCTATGGAACTAGTTACAATTGCCATTCTAACAGTGATTCTAAAGTGAATTCCAACCTGCATAGTTGGGTAAAGGAGTAAACTAGTGCGTAGACAGAGCAATTTAATCTAATTTTATCGACAGACTTCATCGGATTAAAACAAAGCAGGAGTTTTTGGAGATATACTGATGTTCCCAATAACCTTTGACGAGAAGTTCGACTAAGTTTCTTACTAGTCACCGAAATGGTAACAGTTTATACCTGGAAATCTAATTTCTGCATCCAAAATAGACATGCTGTTCAGCGACTTTGTTTATGATTTTTCCCATTCCACTCTGATTCTTTTCCCCATTACCATTTTTTCATTGACAAACCTTATACCCCAGAAGTTTACTATTTTATGACCTTTCTTATCAAGTTTATCACTACCAGTTATTTACATAGTTCTACATAAAGTTATAAGCGTATTTGTAATAGATGATTACACACAGTGATAAGTTTCTATGTTCGTGATATTTAGAACAAAGTTCACAGGTGTGATTTTTTACATTCTTTTGAGGTTCCACTTGAATGGTCTTCGTCTAACGGCTTTAAACTAAATCCTTCCAAATGTCAGACTGTTAATTTCAGTTTCCGATGTAAACGAAAGTCAAATGAAGCCGCTGGTTCCTATGACCCTTGCAAAATTGATGATACTGATATAGAAATCAAGTCTGAAGTTAAGTATCTTGGATTAATTCTTTCTTTTGACCTATCCTGGTCTTCCCATGTCTTAGCGATTTCTAAAAGAATATTTCATCTGAATTTTTACATTAAGAAGTTCAGGCACTTAGGCATAACCCAACCACTCCTCTTACAGTTTGTCAACTGGTGTATATCTCAGTGGTAACGTCTCTGACTGCAGCACTGGGTGACGCGGGTTCGAATCTCAGAAGGGACATGAGTTCCTACAAGGTTGCAGATACGCCTTGCTGACGAGTGCCAACTAGCACGAAACCTAGGTCCAAGGCTTCCTGCCGATTGCCTCCAACCATCTAACACCATCAAATCAATGTGCACCGTGATGGCCAGCTAGCTAGAATGGTGGTCACATTACAACCTGACTGATAGAATTCAGTCTACACCAATCAGAGGACTAGACGCATCACACTAGTTACTAGTGTCAAATCAAAATATTTTACCTATTCTTCTTTACTGTTCACCCTTATTATTTCCTGGATTGCTTAAAAAAGACTATGTCATACAGTTCGTAGAACTCTGAAGACTGTCAGTAGGACGAGTGGTATCTCATTGGGCCATATCGTTGACACTGTCACTGATAGTCACTTGATGTCATGCAACAAATTTGCTAAAGGAATTTTGTCAGACTCTGGGCACCCACTCTACTCACAGCTCCAACCTTGTGTCTCCTCAGGTAAAACAAGAAGTCTTTTCAGAAGACTTTATGCACGTACGTCTAAGTATGAAATTCCACTATACCATATTTAGCACGTAATATATGTGATGAAAGTGGTGTCAGGCATGAACTAAGTAACCTTCTTTGCACTACTAAATAAACCATTTCTTCCACCCTTACAGTACCAAACTTAGTTGTTATTGTATTTCTGATATTTATAATCCTCTCAATTTTTGGTTTTTATTTATTTATTTTTACAAGTGTGAACATCGTTTAAACTGTGTTACCACTGTTAATCTTGTATTTCTCCTCACCATACTACATCAACAGAACATTAGATTCAATACTCTATAGTAACTTGCTAAAATTTTCAAACTGAATCCAAAATACTGTTTAAAACAAACTCACTCTTATTATTATTATTATATTCAATAATCTCAATTCGTGCTTCGAATATTTTTGACTTTATATCGTAAACGTGGACAAATTCCTCTTGTTACTTTTGTTTTAAATTTAAATTTAATTTATATTTTAAGTAAATCAGATGCAATATTGTGACAAATGCTGTGAGTTCCATTCTGTATTATAAGTACTGTTTTTGGAATAAAGTAAAGTATGGAAATAATAGAAAAGATTTGTAACTCAGGTGGATGATTTGCAATTAATAGTGTTCTCTGAGCTGGTTGGTTTAGTTGCGGAGCTTTCATGGAGATTTTAAATCATTTGACTTTATGCTAAATACTGCGCTGAAGATGTCGTCGAGAAAGACGACGAAAGCTCCGCAACTAAACCATCCAGCTCAGAGAACACTATTAATTGCAAAAAAGTATAGTATTATTATTATTATTGAAACGCAAAACCTCAACCTTGGACTTTACAGTTTCCGTAGTAGTAGTTTAGTGATTTTACATCGTAGGACTTCTAGCTTCAAGTCTAATCTTCCCCACTTGTCACATTGACAACCAGCTCAAGGATACAAAGATGTGTGAGCTGGTCAGCAGTTGAACCTCGGACCACATGTATGGTTGATGAACATTTTACCACTGGGCCACCGATTTATATGATCATAGATAACACTAATATATAACTATAGTTTTTTATCATGTAGTTATTTTACTGTATTCGGAACTATGTGACATGATATATTAACAATTGTGTTCAGTCACCTTTGTTGCATATGTTGAGATTAAAATTTATACCTATGGATTCCGTCACAAATTTTACTTTTCATCAAAGTAAGAGTAGAATTCTATGCAGATCCTGAAGTAAAACACAGGGCTAAGCTCTAGGGTGATGAAATAATATTCGGTGTACAGTTATGTCTAATGCTCGCTATACTCAATTTTAGCACTGACATCACCATTATCCTCAATTGTAGCAGATATATTTATGGACATTTGGGAACATAGGGCTCTTAGAATGTTTGTTTCTGCTCCTAGGTGATGCTAAGGATATGTAGATGACACACTGTGTTTAAATCTTAAAGTATCCCCCAGTTCTTCGTACATATAAACTCACTGGTTGATAGGATCCACTGCAATTTTGAGTTAGAAAGTAAACAAAGTGAGTTGGCCACACCTGACTTTAAAATCGAGTTGAAACAAGATGGTGGATTACATACTACCTTCACGTGTAACCGACATGTTCTAATAAATACTCCCATCAAGAATAGGTAAAGATAAGTTTAGTTGAGTGTCTATATTATTGGATCACGAGCCAAATGGTAAATTAGAAGGTTTTCAATAACGAAATCAAGAAAGTATAGAAAGCATCAACAGTGAATAACAACCCACCGGAATTTATTCACAAATATCATATAAAATAAAATGACTGAGAGCAGTAGTGAAAATGATGAAAATAATTGCAATATTATGGATTTCAAATTCTCTGTAGTAATGCTGTATAAAGGAGGAACATCAAGGGCACTAGGTGGGTTACTCTTTCTTCGTCTAACATTTTATGTGATAGTGAGTTATCAGTCAGTTATTTTTCGCAACACTTTTACTACAATCTTCTATTAATTATTCTCTCTTTTTCAGAATTTTCTGGTACTCGAGGGAAACCATCTATTGCTCATCGAAATCTGAAACCATCAAACATATATATTCGTTCTGATTGGTCATGTTGTATTGGTGATATTGGATATGCTGTTCGATCACCGCCTCCGTGTCCACTTCCTATTCCTACAGATCATTTGTACAGTGTTTATGAACAGTATGAGAATTACCTGATAAAGCATACAGATGTCAGAGGTAATTCATGTGGCTTTACTGCATCCGAAAAGCTCAGTGATGATCCTATACATAATAAACGATCTGCATACATTACATTACAAGAATATTTGACGGGTACGGAGTATAATGAATGCTTTCGTGAGAACCGTAGGTCTCTGGATCAATACAGTCTTCCAGCTGAAGATGAAACTTGCAATTCACTATTCGATAAGTTAGAAGTCTTAGACTGGTGGCCTATAGGTGGACTACATGCTGGTACACCTCGGTACCTAGCACCAGAGGTTAGTTTACTCTATTTAAATTGAGTGATCACTTATTCAGCGGAATCGCGATTAGTTCGTAACACTACAGAAATCTGTGATTACTGATTTCATCATTTGCTTTTTACATCGCCGATCCAATTTTCACCCTAATAGGCAACCGATCGGTGGGCTCAATCTGATGCTGGTTGGCAGGATATGGTAACACAGAGATTCACGGAGAAAGAAGAACTTCTGTATTTGACATGTGACTTAGGGATGGCTCCGGTTATTTGTAAATTTCTTAACAAACATTCTAGAATAACGAATTTTCCGTTGTAACCGCTGATGGCAATTCCCCCCGTCACTTTGATTCCCATTTCAACCTCCTTACCGTGATACGATTTCACCATATGTATATATATCAATGCGCAAAATACTATGTTGTGTAAAGCACAAAAATAATCCAATGAGCTATGATTAATGCCTCTATTGATGTGCACACCCGCTCAATTTTAGAAGCCTAAAACTCTTGAGAACTGAGGCGTCAATCTAGACATCTTAACGGCAGACGAGAATGTGTGTGTGCGTAATATATTTCAAGATTAATACTTAATATAAAAGGTAAATAAATCTGTTATACAATGTCTCATATGAAATTTTCAGCTGTTATGCAAATCAATCAATCCATTCTGCTTAGAGTCTTATCAAAAATCTGATATATACGCGTTGGCTTTAATTCTTTGGGAAATCGTTAGTTGGGCATTGCCAAAGTCTATTTGGCCGGGTGTAGAATCGTCAGATGCATCAAGCTCATTGAACAAATCTTCATTCAGAAGGACTCAGTGTTCAGCTGAGGATGATTCAATGAGTTTAAATCATTTTCATTCGTCACACGGAAGTAAATCATCAAATGGTTTTCCGTCTTCAACAGTGTATTCACCAGTTTACCAAGATGAATGGTTTCAGCTATTAAGCAGACTTGAATACAGCTGTACAACTGATGAATCACATCGTTTATTAAACTCGAGGGCTTCAACGGATGGACAGATGAAGGTGAGTTCATTTGCCTTCTAGTTTTATGTTCACTGTACTGTGTTTAAACAGAATGGAACACGAAAGGTGGTATCACTAATTTGGTGAATAGTTTTTTGTATTTCTTCGAGTTTTCTGTATTGCATCAGTCAGGTTTATCATTTCGAAGTGAAGGTAAGTAAATTACTCATGCGGTGGACTTTGAATTAGTCCTGAGTGACCAAAGGCAATCTACAGAAAGTACTAGACCATGGTTTTCAGCCGACTGGCACTCGTCTGCAACACTTATCTGCAAACTCAGACGCGGTGTCCAGCGGGAGATTTGTATCTGCATCACTTGAGTGTTAGAATGACTACACATAGTAGCAAGGGTTACTCCTCAGCGGTCAGTCACTGTATCAGCTAAAGTCCTAAGGATGGTCAATAGTAGTCAGAGAAATTCAGCGGGGTGCCGCAGCAATTGAATTCAGATCTCAGAGAGGGTTGGGCATTAGTACCATCGAGGCTGCTGATGTGCTTTTCTGATAATGGCGAGTAACCGTGAGTTCGGAATTCAGGGTTTTATGTTGACTACTTTTAACCACATAACATAATTCCTATCCTTTATCTAAGGATTAAGTTTATAAAGTATTTCATTTTTTGTTGAAGGGAGGTATTGTATGTATTAGCTCTAGAATTACTACAGCTATCCATGTAGTATATACGGTCTAAATCGGTCAAAATCGTTCGCAATGGCGCAGATGCATCCACTCCTTGTGACTTATGATTTCCAATGAAACTGTTCTGTTCTTCGTTATTACTATTCCTTTGTCTCACACCTCTGTTTACTGTCTCCCTTATGCATTTCTTCTAATTTCTTCTGTTGCTTTGTGTGCTACAAGTAGGGAGTGTGGCGATTTGAACTGCCGCATATATGTGCAAAGTTCTATGCCGAAAACAGACAGACAGACAGACGGTCTAAGAAACCGTAGCTGATTTGATGAGCCATTCACAGTTTCACCGTTTTAAGGTATGTGCTTAGACATACATAGCTTAATCTCTGAAACAAGCAGATGACTACTGGAAGGATCAAGGAGTTTTTTCACATAATGGTACACCCACTGACTGGGCATTGACTTTCAGGAGAACCGAACACACATATATGTGCCTTTTGCGAGATGAGACTAACATGTAGTACCATCCTGTGGCTCAAACAGTCGAGATCCCTATCTATCGTGGACCATTTGTACCTTTAGTATATACACTAATGCATAAGTAAGCGTCAGTGATCGCGTCAGTCAATTATGCACTGCAAAGATAGGGCCAGTAGAGTCCATCTCGAAATACAGGACCAGCCAAACGCTTTCTTATTTAGAACAGTACAATGTGTATCGACACTATAGTGACATAGGCTCCTGTAAACGAAGTTAGAACCCACCAAATTCAATGAAATCTATTCCTTGTCAGCCAGTTTATCATGCAATAACCTCAATAAGTCTACTAAGACTAGAGGAAACCATCCACAGTCATATAAGCGAGCTATGAGAATGGCATAGCTCACGCTCATACCGTCTATTTGGCTTATGCTGTAATTACTTAGGGTTTACGATTAGTAAGCAAGGCAGCCTAGCTGAGTACTATTAGACCCAAATAAGCTCAAAACTCTATGATCACAAGTACTGAAGCCATTTTTTAACCTTCCTTAGTCATTTTGAAGCGATTCGCCCCACAGTATCAATAAGTGGAGTACATTTCGATCATAGTTTATCGCTCGTAACCATATAAGTATATTCACACAACTTTCTAACTTGCTTGACATAGCCTTACTCCCTCCTGGTTTTTACTGCAATTTTTATCTATCCGGCGTGTTTGGTGGTGAATCGGTGAAAAAATATTCCATGACTAATCTCTTTATCTCCACCTAATTGCGTCACTTTTCAATACTTTCACATTAGCTAACCGTAGTGTATAACTACATGAAAGTGGATGTACTAACCAAAACTTTTTCTCTATTATTAAGCTTAGCATCATCGGTCATTCTATATGTAGTTAAATTCCTGTGTTCAGATAACCCAGCTGATCCTGATCTATTAGTTCGACTTGTTTAATTAACCTCACCTTAGTTAAGTGGTATCTGGTATGTTATATTATTTTTCCAAATTGGATCTGTTGTGTCCTTTTGTAATGAAATACTACTCTGACACTTGGTTCGAAAGGCAAAAGCAGTCTTGGATGGAGCTTGAACTAAATTTTAAATTAAGGAGGAAAAATTAGTGCTGAGTAATAAATAAAGGGTACGACGGTGGCACAGCGATAGAATGCTCGTCAACCACATATGTGGTTTGAGGTTCGATCCCCCGCCAATGCACTCCCAAACCTCGCTAAGCTAGTAATAAGACTGGTAAAGAAGAAGGGTTGGGTATGAGGCCGGCAACCCCGTGAAACTTCAAAGCTCTAGCTTGAAGCCCTATGTTCCGCTGGGAACGTAAAGGAATAAAATAAATAAATAAATAAAGGGTATCCAGCCTATTGGTACATAATTATCTCAACTCTATTTTAAGACTCTGACATAAACTGCGTTAAAGGGAGTGTGGTCACTTAGTAGATAAGCTGCGGCTTATTAAGTAGCACCTTTTGTGTAATCAAAGCGCATAATTTATTTCTGACACATTAGGTATTTTGTCAGTCAAAAGCCGATGCTGTGCATCTACTGAACTTTGAAAATAGTAGCATTAAGTGCAAAATACTTGTACAACAATATACTTATTAAGTGTATACAAGTTAGCACTTGTTAAATGGGTCCAATTTTCCAAGGCTCAGCAGCTAGTTTAGATGGGAAATCTAGCCAACCTGATGTGAGATTCGAATTATATACCTTTTGGTTAACTAATTATGTTTGCAGTCTAATTGCAGTAGTATTCAATAACAAATGTGAATTTTTATTTCTCTCAAGGACTCTGTTGATTGTGTAGATGAGGTCTGATAAGATCATAAGGCTACATTGGTTTAGGTGACTAGGACACATGTTATGCTTTCTGAGCCGCTACCTTGCTTGTCGGGTAGTAATACAGTGGCATAGGATTAGGTTGGTAAGAAAACAGGTACGGTCAAACTGTAACCTCGCATCAATTTACGAAGTCTTCTGCAGTTGGTCATGTAATGTAAAGAGTTGCCTTGTTTGGATTCTCAGGATGCTAAGAACTAACAGCTACATACTGTCGATGACATGGTCCAAAACCCGTTCTCATCTATGTGACAGATGCATTCACTCTTTGTTATATCCCACATCCAGTGAGTATTTATGTTTCTTCACGTTACTGTTCTTTCTGCCGTATGTTTCTGTTTTTATGGCCCCTTTCAACTTCTTCTTCGTTTTGTCTACATTTGTGTGCAACGTAGAGTGTGGTAACTTGAACTACTCTACTTCTAAGCAAAGTTCTGTGTTAAATATCGATCAGTCAGCCTGATTATGGAGGTAACTGGTTGACTCCATTATTTGTAATGTAATTTTATGGAACTTTGACCGTATGAATAAATGCATGATTGGAACTGCACGTAAAGCCAATATAGACGGAGAAATATGTATTACCATAAACTGGTCAATATGACAAGTACTGTATATTTGATAGCAGACAAAATAACCCATAACTTGTTGAATCGTAGTTGAAATTGTGGATCAGAAGAAGCGCATTATGCTCCATTTAGACAAAGTCATCTAAATATTCCCCCTGCAACTGCTGAAACTCAGTTTCAATACTCATCGTCTAAGCTGTTAAATGTGTTGGCTCTGCAGTTTGTTTTGTGAACTCTGGGAATTTTGACAGAAGTTAAATCGCCTTTACATGCTTGTTGAGCTTTGAACAGATAAATTGTATAATTATATTTGTATAATATATGTTTGATTTACACTCAAGTTTGTGTGTTGTTGTCAGGTTTTCGTAAGCAGTGGACAGGAAGCTTTGTACCTAGGTTTCGTGCTTGTTGGAACTCGTCAGCAGGATGCATCTGCAGTCTTGGAGGAATTCATGTGTCCTTCAAGGATTCAAAGCTATGTCACTCAATGCTGTAACCGGACGCATTACACCTAATTGTATTCGGGTTTTGATGTGGTTTTGTTCTCTGAGCTGGATGGTTAATTTGCGAAGCTTTCATCACCCTACTGGGTGACATCTTCAGCGCATACTTCAATTTGAAGTGAGCTTTTAGATTTCTCCACGAGTTTATTAATCATCTCTCCCGGTGACCTTGGACGTGATTGGTTGTTTATGTGTGTTTTCACATCTTCTAGGTTACTTGTATTGGAACTGACTGTTTCTTTGACTTGAACTTCAAGTTCAAAATCATCCACCTGAGCTACAAATCTTCTCTATCATATCTAAATTGTATTCGGGCTCACGAATTAGTTACTGTAGGACTGTAGTGAACACAGTGATTGAACACTGGGTGGTAACTGACGTCCTGCGTATGGTCCTTGATGTTGCTGCAGATTGAAGTTTATCAGTCAGGCTTGCAATATTAGTGGCCTAGGTTCAAATCTCTGGAAGAACATGATGGCGAGCTACCTAGCTTGCTGGCTACATAGCAAACCTGCGCCAAGCTAAGGATCAGACGCATGACACCAGTTACTACCTAGTATCCTATGAAAAAGCGTTTGTGTACGTCGTTAATAAGTTGTGCAGTACATCAACCTCTTAGATTCTTGATTGTCATATACTTTTTCATGTCTTCTATTTGGTTTTAGAATAAAGAGCCAGATATTCACACAATGATCCAATTAGTGTGTGAACAACACTTGAGACCTCGTACACCGACACCCCTTCCAGTCGAAACGATCAACGGAATGATTGGGGTTTGCAGCAGTTCTCATCCAAAAATCTTGCCCTTTTGTGATACTGTGATGGCAGTACACATGCAGTTACGTAACACAAACGGTAATCTTAATAATAATAACGACAATTTTATTACTGTGGATAATGAGAAGTTAAGTAAGTATTATTATCAGTAAGATTATTATCTTTTGGGTTCCGAGTGGAACATAGAGCTTCAACAGCACATCTTCATTTCATCCTGTTCTCTGCAGCCATTTTTATCTGGCTCTACGATAGTAGATAGTAATTATCATTTCCTCGTTGCACGACCATCTCCCTGTCACCCTGGAACTCACGCCCGACTCCTGCTTATTCAAGGACATGGTGAGCAATGTCGCTCAACTTCCCTTAAGAATGAGCCAAATCCATCTCCATATTTGTTAGGCAATAGGTTCTTGGTCAGTTCGTTGCCCTGCAGAGTTCCTTGCTGTTAATTCTACCTAGATGGCATATGATATTCAGAGTGGAGCCAGTTAAGGGATCTGTTGGTAACGGTGTAAAGCTTGTTCAATGTGGTTTTGGTATCGCTCTAAGTCTCTGGACAACATTGGAACAGTGACTGACATTAGTGTTAAAAATCCGAATCTTGGTGCTTATGCTGATTGCAACAGATCTGTACACTGATTTCAAACCAATAAATATACCTTGCCTTTCCGATTCTGGCTTAGATATCTTCATGTGTACCGACTGACTTCATTCGATTCCCTTCTATTGATGGGGATTAAGTGCTTGCGGTCACTGGTTAGATATTTTCATCATCTCCGTTTTCTCTACATCCACCTGAAGTTCTGTCTTTGTTGTCCACATCTTCTTTCAGTTTTTTGATTTTCGCCTGTAGAATTTACGTGACATTACAGATAAATCATCCGCTAAGTTAAAATCTGCTGAAGTCTTCTTATCAGTCCAACGTATTACTGTCTTCTAGCTCCAACGTATGACCTGCTGTATGATGTATCCCACCACAATAAGGAAAATCTTCGCTGCTAGTAGTTTGCCTTCTTTTACTCCTGTCTTTACTTCAAAGGCATAGCTGATTTGTCCGCTGTGGATCACTATGACAGCGATGCTCATATTTTCCAGGTTTTTAGGGAACTTCATTTCTTGTGTCTTACTAATTCGTTTATAAGGAATTTGAGTACCTGTTTAAGAGTACAACAAGATCAATGTTCCACAGTGTCACAGATCAAAAATAATGGACATTGATTTTTTTTATTATTCTCAAAAAATTCACAGTATTCAAACAACCGGAAAAAATCTTTATTAACCAGCGAATATACTGGGAAGTATCTGGGTTGGTACTTACGTCTCATGTGCGTCGGTGGCACAGTGGTTAGGACTCTCGCCAACCATGCACATGGTCCGAGGTTCGAACCCCCGCCGACACACACCTGATATCTATGGTCGGCCTGCAAAATTTGGGCTACCGATATCCATGCTGAAAATTCCATACTTGTACCAAAAATACAGTGTGGAATCAAGCTGTAATCAAATATAAATATAAAAAATATATAAATATGAAAGACATTTAATTAGTAAATAAATGACCATTTAGACTTATGTCACGACTTCACAACCTGCTGTTTCCAAAGGCTTATCCAACATGACCAAATGGCTAGTTTGTCCCTAGCAGCCGTTCATGGATACACTTAGATGAGGTCTACACCGACTTTACACATTATAGCCGTTATGATTTCATTTCTTTGTCTAGAATACTTTTATTTGAATGGTAAAGATATACAAGTGGGTTTTTGGGAATGAAATATCTTAGGCTTATTCAGATCTATAGACCTGTTTTGTCCCCTACCAGGGAATCTGTTTCTTATAGACTATCAAAATGATATGAATGTGTTTCATCTTTATAAGTTTAATTCAGAGCACTACATTTTAAATTTGTACATGATCAAATTTTAGTTATTAAGTATTGGTTTGCAAGGATCTGAGTGGTTACGGGTTTTATCACGAGCTGACATCAGCTGGAGAACTCAATGATTTTCTAGTGGTTCTTTGACTGGTGTCAGCTCGTTTTCAAACTTGTAGTCAATCAAATTTCTGCAAAAATACCACTTGAAAATTATTCTGATCCATGCTAGCGACTGGTTGTTTGTGGGAAGTTAACTGGAGTTCCATTGTGACCAGTAGGATTCAATCAGGCTGGCAAAAAGACAGGTACTCGTCAGTAACATTGGTTGGCGTTTGCAGTGTCTGTCATGAACTGTTGAAAGTTGGAGTTCATGAGGCATTTAACAGCGTCCCACAGACTAACTGGTCTAGGAATACGCCTGGTAATTGAGAGGTCCTGGGTTTGAATCTCGGTAGATGAATGTTGATGAAGATTCCCAAACAAGTAAGAAACAACTGTTCAACACCCACTGGTTTTCCAAATGGACATCCAAATGATATCAGCTCACATTTTAGTTAGTTAGCTTGTTATCGGTTAATGATTTTTCATATGTCAACTGAACAGTGATGATTTCTTCCACCTGCCCCTGGTCGAAGTGGCTGGAGTGGGATTTGAACAGCCGAAACACCCTGCCTGGAAGCTGAGTATCTAAGTCAATGAAGTGCATTTCCAAATTCTCTAGAGTTATCCTCTGTAGAATTGAATCTCTATAAGAAGTGGTGATGATTATTGCCACAGAATATTTTACAATAAATGTGTTAATTTGTTTGTATTCTTTCTAATAATAATTATTATTATCTCTTTTAGTCGCTAAAATTTATCGAGGCTCATCATCTTCCAGTGCATCATCACTACAAAGTAATGATCATACAAACTTAAACTTAAACTCCAAGTTACATAATTCAGATGAATTAGAAATTATAAAACTACAGAGTGTAATTGCTAATCAATTTGCTTTCCTGCTACCAGAATGTTGGACAACTGAACCAGATTCACGTTTATCAGCATTACGCATTAGAAAACGTTTACAAAGTATTTACGAGTTAATGAGTAAGTTATAGGGGGGGAGGCTGATAAATTATTAAAACAAAGTATGCCAGCATCTTAATGAATTGCATTTATAGCATTTTACTTCATCAACCTCTTGTATACATTGGATACAATGTCAGTTTCCCTCTATATCTGGCCGTCTCTTTCTCTCTGTATGTTCTTCATGGAGACTCCCTTATGCCAGGGACGCTCTTTATTAAAAACTTTCTTTGTGCATATGAAGAACTACCTTATATTGTTACTTCTTTATTCTAAGATTTCCCTATTTTAATAATGATATGCTCAAGTAGTGTAGTGCAGTATAACTTATCCTCTTGTTAATAAACAGAAAAGAAATTTAAATTTGAACAGCCTTTGAAATCTTTCAATTGATCGGGAACATGTTTAACGCTGAAATAGTTACTTAGATGACACTAGTGTAAATCTCCATGAAATACAAGCTTCTCTCCAACTTTATATTATATTATTATTTATTATTCCTTGGGTTCCGTGTGGAACATAGGTCTTCAACAACTGATCTCAACTTTGTTCTATTTTCTGCTGTCCTCTTCTGCTGGTCCACATTTGCCCATAATCTATCATCTCCTCCAACTCTCATGATGCCCTACATGTCACCCTAGGACGATTTAGTCGTCGCTTCGCATCGGGATTCCACTTGAGCTGTGGCCCGCGTTGCTGGAGATGTCATTCGATGTCCTCTTCAACGTATGCCCGATCCATCTGTATTTTCTCTTATGTATTTGTTGAACGATAGGCTCTTGCTTGTTGGTTTGTTCCCAGAGTTTCCTGTTGTTAATTATTTCTGGCTAGTCGATCTCCAGGACGGAGCCAGTGTAGGCAGCTGTTGATAAACATCTGTAACTTGTTGGAATTCCTCTTCGTGACCTGCATAGTGAGTTTCTGACCCGTACGGAGGAATTGATAAACTTCAAAATTCTGTTGAAAATACGAATCTTGTTTTTTTTATGCTGGCTGAGTGCATAAGATTTCCAAACTGGTTACAGGTTGGTTGATGAAGGCGTATTTTACCTCTCCGATTCTGGCCTGCTTTGATATTTTCATCTGTGCCGTATGCCTACAGTTGAAACTGTGCTTCGTAGATAAGTGAAAGAAGTAATCTCTGTTAAATGTCTCCCTCTGATGGTGATTGGTTCTTGTTGTTGTTGTTGTTGCTATTGTTGTTGTTTACTTGTCTTCATCACCTCCATCGTCTCCATGTTCACCTGGAGTCTTGTCTTCGCTGCCAGCCTCTTCGATCATTTTGTTGGTTTCCGCCTGTAAGTCTTTTAGTCTGTGTGACATAAAAGACATAAATCATTCACCCACGACATACAGATCTTCTAAAGTCTTCTTATTGGTTCAACGTATTCCTGTCTTCCTTCAACTTGAGTTATCACTGTTCTTTTCAGTGAAGTAAAACTGTATGCACCTGACAGATCTGAAGACACTTATAACCTCGGTATGCTCATTAAGAGCAAGGCAGTAAAATCGCTTAAATAACACTATATTCATGAATATTGTTGAATAAAGTGTAATGATATCAAATAGAATATCTGGCTAGTTTTAGGTTACATAAGCGAAAAATTAGGGTTAAGTTTAAGCTAGGGATAAGTAGAGATTAGTTTAGCCGAATTAAGGTGATATTAGGGTTGATTAAGGTTAGCTTAGACATCTATTAGGATAGAGTTTGGGTCTAAATTTACAATTCTGTGTTGTGGCTCCTTACAGTGTCCATGGTGCGTTCACGCCTCTTCAGTCGCTAATGTTTAACTTTGCCTTCTTTGTACATAATGTCTATATCCTTTGTTAAGTTTTTCTTATTGGCTATATTTGCGCTTCTTATAATAACGGTAGATTTCATGTTTATGCATGCTGTTTCCCCTGTAACTTCCTTTACTTTTTTCTATAAAGTTATTTCTCTGTGCGTTTTACTCCAATGTGTTCTTTTATTTTGTATTTTTTCGTTACTTCATCCATATTTTCGTTTTCTATTAATAAACAAAGAATTATACCATACTGTAATTTGACTTTGATTTCTTCTAGGTATGAAAAATTCCCTTGTCGTGTAAATAAGAACACAAGATTCAGCAAAAAAAAGCGACGTCTTTTCGTA